GTTCGACGAAACATTAAAAATACTCGAACAATATTCAAAAAATACTCCAAAATAATAAAAAAATACTCCAAAAATAGTCCCCCGACTATTTTTTGACTATTCTTGAATATCCCCCCTGTTGAGGGACAGGCCCGACTTAGGCCTGGTGATGCCCCCGTCCCAAGAAACAGGTACGCTGGTGCTTTGCGCAGCCCCAGGAGTCGGGGACCAGCCCCGGAGGACGCTCTCGGGCCCGGGGGGCTTTTAAAACAACTTTTCGGGCCCCGACACACTCGCTGTGGTGGTGCTCTTCGCAGCCTCGTGGGTTGGGCCCAGCCCTGGAGAACGTCTTCGGGCCTGGAGACCTCCAATAAAACTACCTGGGCCCAGAGAAACTGATGCGTGCGCCTCCTCGCAGCCCAGGAGGTCGCCCTGGGCCCAGGCCCCCCCGGGGCAGCGAAAGCGCCAACGCAAATGCTTCGGGCCCCGAAGAGCTGTTTCTGGAGGTCCCCAGGCCCCGAAACGTCGTTCTCCAGGGCTGAGCCCAAACCAGCGAGGCTGCGAAAAGCACCAGATGAAGGGGCCCTGGGACACACAAAAAGGATGTTCCATGTTTTCCCATATTTTCTAGGTTTTTGTCTTCCCCCCCACTTCCCATATTTTCGCATATTCGCCTGGGGATCGACGATTAGATGTGTCTGTATGGTTTTCCCCCTCCTGACAAGAATCAACTTGTCGGGGTCCGATTTTTGTCTCGAGGTTCCGAGACTCGTAAGCGTCCTCCAGGGCTGGGCCCCGACCCCCGGGGTTGATCGAACTCCTCGGAGCCCGAAAAAGTATGTTTGGAGGTCCCCGTGCCCGAAAAAGTCCTACAGGACTGGGCCCAAACCCCGGAGCTGCGAACAGCACCAGCATAAACTTCTCGAGACCAGATTCTGGTCTAGAGGTTCCCGGGCCCGAGAGCGCCCTCAAGGGTGGCACCCCGACCCCCGAAGCCGCGAAAGCACTCGAATCAACTCCTCGGAGCCCGAAGCGCTTTCTAGGGGGCCACAT